TGTACAAAAAATATATAATAATATAATAATATAATAATATATAATATAATATATAATATATATAATATATAATATAATACATAATAATAATATATATAATATATAAAATAATAATAATAAAAATATAATAAATATGATAATAAAATAATAATAATATAATAATAAAAATAAAATATAATAATAATGGAAAAAATGGGATAAATAACTTCTATTTTTCAATATATAAAATAATTCATACAATAAAAAACCTTTTTCTTTTTTCTTATTCATACAACCTGCCACAATCCCTATTTGGGACTTTCTAAAAAATATAGAATATTTTAACAACAAACCATAATCTGAATATAATTATATTGTTACACAACTTTATGTGCATATACATAACTTTCCCCGTCAAAAATTCAACAAAAAAAGAATTTAACAGTTAATGCTGATCAAGAAAACTAAACACGCTAAATTTTGTACGGATTTTACTAGAATAACAAATATATTTGACAATTTCCCATAGAAGCGTATTTATAACTTCGACAAACTGTAACGTAAGAAATCTATCATTTAACCGTGAGAAAAAAACTGCGCACGTTTGGTTCACGGCATCGTTTGCGCGGAAGCATTGTCTTGGGACACGGGGGGGGGGGTCAATGGAGATCGAGTAACGAATAAGGAAGTACGGAAACGTGGAACTGATCGAGACCGATTTTACGATGATTTTCCAGATCCATACCAAATGTTCGGAGCGACGAGCAGTCGCCTCGCGAGCTCTGGTTCTGGTCAGATACAGCTTTGGCAATTTTTGCTCGAGCTGCTCTCGGACTCGAGTAACGCCGCGTGCATTACGTGGGAAGGAACCAACGGCGAGTTCAAGTTGACTGACCCCGACGAGGTGGCGAGACGCTGGGGCGAAAGGAAGTCCAAGCCTAACATGAATTATGACAAATTGTCCAGGGCTTTGAGGTGAGTGACGTTCCGTGAACCTTGAATCCTCCCTCCGCATTTCGTCCAATTGCTTGTGCACTGCGATCGCGTATTTAGCGACAACGTACACTATATATATAAATAATATAATATATATAGTATAATATAGTATAGTGTAGTATATTATATTATATATATATTATATTATATTATATTATATTATATTATATTATATTATATTATATT